TGTTTCTCTTCAGAACGAACTTTTATTACTTCATTTGTAATTTGGTTGAAGTGTTCAATTTCTACAATTTGCTTCCGATTATTTAAATAGGATTTAAACCAGTTATGTACTAGCCCACGGATATCCGAATTCATAAGTTTTAAAATTAGTTTATCATAGGGCACCCTGTCATATGCTTTCGTCATATCAAGTAAAATACCAAAAGTATATTTTTTATCATTTAAATTTTGTAAGGCCATTTGTATGAACTTATATACAGCTAGGGTGGTTGATCTTGATTTTCTGAATCCATTTTGGCTATCATCCAGACTATGGCAAATATCCCCACTATAAGGCGATATATGGGGGAGGCCTATGTTAAGCTGTGGACTTTAATTGGTTGTTATGATACTGGGTTTGCGACACTATCGTGATGAAGCATACTCAGTATCGTCTGCACCGTCGTGTGTTTGGAATCCGTTCTAGATCTGTAATAGTTAAATATTTTATTTCACGTTTATCTCTTATGCACATTTAAAACTAGTACCTAAATACGTCCAAACCAATGCGTTTAAATATTTTCTTTTTTTTTTCGTCGAACTTATCCATGGGCGTAGTCAACATATTTTTTGGGGTATGCCCAGACCAAACAGAATTGGAAATACCATAATTTTTAGGTGTAGCAAAAGGGGTTCGTGCACCTTCCTACCTAAGCCCACGTTAATATCTATAAACATGTAATGAACTGAGACTGGACTAATAGCTGAGTGAGACGACTATTTTCTTCTAGATCTAACAAATTCGGTGAAGTTATTTATGCGACATATGCGGAAGGAATTTCGCGTTGCAGCCTCTCGTCTTTCAACACTATCGCTTCGTGCATTTGAAAAGTAAGCCAAGTGAGCAAAAACCCTGGTATCTTCGATATCGCGTATTTGGAATAACAGCATCTAATTGCGGTGTATGCAACAAAAAATTTCGTTATAAATAATAATAATAATAAAATTTATTGACATATAGATTTAACAAATGTAAGCAAGAACAGTAAGCTAAACAATGTTCAACATAAGATATACAAATATTTTCCGTTGGACCCCAAACTAGGATAATCCTGTATCTTGGGGTCCGAAAATAATATTGGTCATATACTGCAGCATCAGAAGAAAGTGCACATGGGAGAAAGAACAGTCCAGTGCTCTATTTGCGACAAATAGTTTTTCAACAGCCTCAGCTTGTGATATACACATATATAAACATATATACACATATATAAACATATATACACATATATAAACACATAGATTACACATCATCATCATCATCATTACAGCCCTTCACAAGTCCACTGCTGAACATTGGCCTCCCCCAAGTAATGCCACAAAGCACGGTCCTGAGCCACCTGCATCCATCGATTTCCTGCATGTCTTACCAGGTCGTCACTCCATCTAGTGGGGGGTCGCCCTACACTACGCCTACCGGTACGAGGCTGCCACTCGAGAACCTTTCTTCCCCATCGGTTATCGGTTCTTCGAGCTATATGGCCGGCCCATTGCCACTTCAGCTTACTAATCCGTTGGGCTATGTCGGTCACTCTGGTTTCACTGCGGATATCCTCATTTCTGAGTCTATCACGCAGAGAAACTCCGAGCATAGCCCTCTCTCGATAGCTCGCTGAGTGACCTTGAGCGTCCTCATACGGCCAGCAGTGAAGGACCACGTCTCAGACCCGTAGTCATCACTGGCAACACGCACTAGTTGTACACTTTAGTTTTTTTCCCGAACGCTGCCCAGCCGAGTTGAATCCGTCGATTGACCTCTCGGTCGAAGTTGGACTTACCTATCACTATTTGTCCCAGGTAAACGTACTCGTCAACAACTTCGAGATAATATATATATATATATATATATATATATATATATATATATTTATAGATTACACAAATCATCATTTTTATACATACGTTGTATGCCCACAAAACCACCGAAAACAATGTTCCGAACCCAGCCGTCCCAGCGACAGCACACACATACACATTATAATGTTTGACTTGCAATTCACTACATTCTCACTTGCTCTCGTGTTCTTATCGTACCAGTTCCGGAACATCTATTGTTGTCCTACTGTTGTACTGTTATTGTTTCTTAAAGCTTACGTAATCATGGCGTCATATTTGTTAGCCTAGGGCTGGAGTGGCTAAATGACCACTTTCCAACGCTTTAGTTTTAACGTGTTTGTAACGTATATACCTTTATGCAAAATATATATATATATACTGGGTGGCGATTATTTTATCACATTTTATAGCACAGCAGTTAATGCAAGTTGATATACGTCTGTTGAAGTAATAAAATAAACCATAATACCAAAAGACAAAAAGTGCATCTTTCAAACAAAATAAATGGCGTAAATAATTACACGAAATAAATCATTCTGGATAATATTAGTTTACTGACCTAAAGTAACCTGTAAAAGCGGCAACATCGCGGCGACACGGCGGCATTGACAAAGGTTACCTACACTTGCCCATAGGCAACTAGGCACGTGTAAGGCGATGCTACCTTTACGGTATTGTTTTTATCCAAATAATCACTCTCGTCGGTCACTAAGTGTAGTTACCTCAACGGCTTCGAGCCGTTGCACACCCAGCCCCCGGACGGGCGACCTCTTCCAAGAGAACTCCTCTCTATATCGATTAGAGAGTCGATTAACAACCCACAATGCCGCTGATAGGCCAACTTTGACTTTTACCGGACAACTTCCCTTTTCCCGTAGTTAACCGACTACGGGAAAAATTTCTCCTGACTACGGACTAACCCGTAACACCCATCTACGCCTAGAAATAGGCTCTAAGGACTGGCGCATAGTTATGGGCTGTGATGAACACCTGGGTAATGGGGATATACCCCGAGGCCCGATACCTGCATGACATATGCCATGTAGACGACAACACGACTAGGTGTATTTTAATAAATAAATCAAATTAAACTTTTAGATTTTTAAAATGTCCGCCGTGTACCCGAATGCATAACTGACATCATCGCATGATATTATTTTGGACCTTGCGAAGTGGGTCACCATTGGCGGCATTTTTTTTTATTTTATTAAGAAAAAATCTAACGGTGTTAGATCCGGTGACCTTGCTGGCCACCGAGAAGGTCCGTATCGGCCAATCCACTGCTCTCCAAACATTTCAGTGAGGCGCTGTCTGGCAGCCACCACTGAATGAGCAGGTGCTCCGTCAAGCTGATACCATGACCGGCTATTTTCCCCTAACGGTAATCCATCAACGTAATCCGCCACTGGGCCGTCAAGCAGTTCCAAAAACTTAGGCCCACTAAGGTTTCCTTCGATAAACACGGGACCAATAATTTGATCTCCGTGTATTCCAGCCCAAACATTAACGGCAAATCTGTATTTCTGCATACACTCTCGATACAGTTGCGGATTTTCTTGACTCCAGTATCGTAAGTTCTGCCGATTCCATATTCCGTTGCGCGTGAATGTGCTCTCGTCACTCCACATTATTTTTGCTAAAAACTAGAGTCATTAGCTACTCTGCTCAGGATCCATTGGCAGTAGGCTTCCCTGACTGGCTTATCTCTATCTAATAAAGCCTGTACCTTTACATATTTGAACGACCGTTGCTTATTTTTTCTTAATATTTGTGAACAGTCTTGTGGTGTACACGGAATTGGCGAGCTGCTCTACGGAGACTTGAAGTTGGATTACGAGCGAAATAATTCAATATTTGTTCTTCCTGAGCCACGGCTACTCGTGGAGTAATTTCAACCTGACGCGGGATCAAATATTGACCGTCGCGTAATCTTTGGATTGCCCGTATAAAAATACGTGAGTCTGTAGGACATACACGTGTGGTATGATACCTCTCTCGATATGTTCGTAATGCCAAAGCCGCGTTTTGGTGGCACTCTCCGTAAATCAAAATCATGTCGGTGTATTCCGACGTCGTGAAATTGACACGAGGCATCTTAAAACTTATAAAAGTTAAAACGTTAAAAAGAAAAAGCGTACAATTTTAAGCGAGCTGTTACACCACTTCACTAAGTTATTAAATATGTTTTTTTTAATCTAGCGTATTAAACGTGTCCTATCACAAATAAAAAAAATATAAAACAGTAAAAGTAAGCGTCCAATTTCGCACAAACTGTCACACCACCTTATCACAACTATTATTATCCTATTAAAGTGTCTATCACAAACAAATCAAAAACCTATCAAAATGTCCACAAAAACAATTAAAACTCAAAGGACGCTTACGCGAAAATTAGGTCAAGTGACTCATGAACCATCCTAGGGCACCGGCGTCGGACTAAGTGACCTAAATTATCGTCCCATGCGCCAGAGAAATACGAATATAAACAACACGCATCTTCACACCACTCCCTTCCATTTCTTATCATTTCACGCATAGCGAATTATGCCTTGGGACATCTAAGTAAATTTTTTGCTTGAATTTGTTTTCACACACTCGCATCGCGCAGTCCCTTTGTTTTTAACTTTGCGCATAAGAAATATGCCTTAAATCGCTGGTCTTTTGTATATTTTTGCTTGATTTTTCCTTTATTTGTGTAATTCGGAATGGCAACGTTTGAACTAGGTATCTTCGCCTTTGCCGGCCCTGGGTCTTTGACCCATTAGTATTCTTTCAGGTGATAAATATATGCATTTACATGATGTTGTTTAATAAATCGAAAAAAAAGGCTACTGGGACTAGGGTGTTAATTTTTACATTTCTTTTAGTTCTGTATTTTAAAAGAACGTTATGTAGGGTATGTCTTTTCATTTAATGTGATAAATTCAAAGAAAAAAAAAATATATATATATATATAAATATATATATATCATTGTCTTAAGTCGCCACTCTGACTGTCTCTTTTTTTTTCTAGGACAATCGACTATAGAGGCGGCTCGGAACTTAATGATTACGATCGAAGAAGATAACAACAAATATTTCAACTGTCTCACTTGCACACGTAAATTCAAAAGGCGTGAATTGTTCATGCAACATTATTTGCATGTTCATCTTAAGTTGCGGCCGAAACTGCGGACTTGTCACGTCTGCGGCGTCAAGTTTGCGCCGCATTTGCGCGCTGAACATTTCGAGAAAGCGCACGGCGTTCCAGCCCCGTCTTGCGGTGCTTGCGGGAAAAAATTCGCCTATCCCAACCTAATGTTGCGTCATCAAAAGTTATACCACATGGGCGAGAAGAAATACTCCTGTAATATTTGTGATATGGCATTCAAAACGCGCAGTGACCTTACGAAGCATGCAGTCAAACATTTAGATGTCAGAACGTTCAAATGCGAATTTTGCGACAAATCGTTCAAATGGAAACACAGCCTTAATGTTCATATAAGAATGCATCTCAACGATAAACGTCATGTGTGCGAAGTGTGTCAAGAGGCATTTGTACAGCAGTCGAGCTTGAAATACCATATTGTAAAGAAACATCCGGAAAGAGTATAACAAATTGCATTTGTGTATTTTTGGCGCCGATTTTAACACTTCTTGTAATATGCGACAGAGTATATTAATTATTTTTCAATGCCACATTAGCTAAATGACTATCTGCCAAAGACAATGTTGACATTGTTAAATTGTAGCGGCGCTATCGTCGCGCCACAAGCGAAACACATCGAAGCCTAAATCGCGCTATCAATGTTCTGAAATAAAAACAGTATATATAGAATAGCTCCAAATTACACTCGGAGCTTTGGCCACAAGATAAGACACATGGTCAAACTTTTTTTACCACCTAACAAACCAGCCTCTTACATTGATTTAACAGTTCAAAACATCGTCAATAAATTTACATTATATAATTTTAATTGTTACTTTTAGTGCTGCCTAAATGTTTTTATTGGAAAACTGTAACATCATTTATTGATATTCACACACATACCGATTACTACTACACTATACTATACTGTACTATATATAGTACGTTTCGTTTTGACAACTACCGTTACAGTCTGTTTAAGTCCTATGGACTTGAACGTGAACTTGAACTGTGGTCGTGAACATATCCGCTACCACATATCACCCCGTGGGGGTCGTACGAGCCAACAGAGGGAAACAAATCAGGAGATGGGCGGCAGCGTGTTTGTAATAACGACAAAAAATAAAAATGAACTGCGGCTGCAAAACCGTTTGCTAGGCGTGGAAACTACGACAAATAATCCCCCTATGTAGCAATCTATAGGTGTAGATTTATGTACGTTTTGACAGTTCGTAAGAATTTACACGACCGTGAATAAACATTCCGCCTATTCCAGTAGAGTTTTATTTGCAGGGATAATTAAATTACTGATTGTATGGTATCAAATTATTTATATCTGTAATATTGAAGGTGCATTGACTTGAATTTAAAAAATCATAAAATTTTGTTAAAAAAATATATTTTAGAACAATAATTTTAATCGAAATAGCTTTTTCATATATTCTTTTACTACCGATCGATAGAACTTTTAAAAGCAATTTAATATTACATTCAAGTTTTCTTATAATCAAACCAATGCATCCAACACATTAAACAAAACTTATTTTATGATTTTGCCCACCTTACATTCCGACTGTGTCATGCAAACGTAAGGAGAGTTCCCCTCGAAGCTCCACGAGAGTGGAGCCGTACCTCGGTACCTCGAACGTTGGAAATTATCAATTTCCAACGTTCAAAAGCTGCTATTTAATATATACTGAAATCTTTGAAATTAGTTGTTTTAATACCAATACGTAATTAAGCAAATGACATGTTAAATTCACGCTAAAATGTTTATGCGATGCGTGTTTTATGAAATTTAATACACTGTCAAGTGATACTTTATTCTGTATTCTATTTTATCTGTAGACTATTAAATTACTTTTACTTTTCAATTTAGTTTTAAATACTACATTATGCAAACAAACAAGTGTTAAATTATAATAATAAACAATTGTAATATCTTCAATTTTGTATATTTATTTTCTGCTTACGCTAAAGTTTATACATACACTTTAAGTATAATTATAAGTTCACGTTTCATTTCAGGTTGTATGTGAATAAAAGAGATAAAAATTAATTAATCAAGACATTTTATTTAACCTCGCATACAATATTTAACCCTTCAACAGTCACCACTCAGTTGCATACCTATGTTAAAAAGTTTTACAGAATCTGGTTGAACAAGACAGTTCTATTGCAACCAGTTTAGTAAAAGTAGCACAGTTATTACTAGCCGAAATAGCATTAAGTTGGGATAATTTTATAAAACACTCCGCATCTAATTTACAATGGTATATTAACACGAAGATATATTATATTATATAACATTAATGAAATCCTTGTGACTATTTGTTCAAATTGCATTCCATGTCAACATCGCGATTTACTTTTTGTACAACGCACTCCTGTATCGAAAAGGTGAACTTTCGTACCTTAACAAAATCTGAATGTCGTAAGTCACCTAAGCCGACTCGCGAACGCTTAGAACGATTTTTCATTTTAAGACTCTCGAGTTGTATACTAGTTCCGAATGTTTTTGTCGCATTTGCTATGTCATTAGTGGTGCCAATTAGTAATTGTTATACGACTCATAATCATCGGCATTGCAGCCATTCACAAGTCCGCTGCTAAACATTGTCTTCCAAAGAACACCACAGCATACGGTCCTGTGTCTCAAGAATCCATCGACTTGTTGTAAAAAGGTCGTCCTCCGTCTAGTGGTAGGCCACTATACACTTCATTACTATACGAGCTGTCTATCAAGAACCTTTTTTTTTTCCGGTCTCTTTTATATCTCGGTCTTGAAGAAGTTCCGTTAACTTGTTTCCAGGCCAAAAAAAAAAAAAAACACACCCCCCCCCCCAACGCCCCGCAAAGAAAGCCCTAAACACGGGGAAAAAAAAAAAAAAAAAAAAGAGGAAAAAAAAGGATTTGTTCTAGCTTAATATAATAGTAATATCCTCCAGACTGAATTTCGGTTACGGTGGCTATGCTCAACGAATTTGCGCAGGACAAGATTATAGTGCTCGAGTGTTTGCGCTAGCAAAGGTACACTGTTTATTCCCCCACCCTTATAGAGATATCAGGTGCAGGATCAACAGCTTTTCGTATATTCCGAGACACAAGGGTGAAACGCCACCATCTTCCTGACTCCGGGCCGTTACTGAGAATTTCTTGACCGAAAAACCCAATAACTTATTTTGGTCCGAACCGGGATTTATGATGACGCATGATCAGCAGACGCGATCGATGACGCTAGATTAGCAAAACAGTCAGGTAAACATACGCGTTCGTAATTTCGGGCGCAGTATTCCCAAAACCTATCGGTATTTGCGTGACATCGAAGTTACTCATGGCTAAAGGCCATGGGTAACTTGTATTTGTCCATATTCATCCTAAAACCGATTCGAATATGTATTATTCGATTATGAACACGTAATTATCAACTTGATCTTGTTAATTAGAAGCTGTATATTCACTGCACGGCATTAGTATTTGTACTCGGTGAAAGATTGTGTTGAGTTGTCAAGATTATATACCTGGATTACAAAAATTATTAAACAGGGTTATTTTACAAAGAGTATCCAAATTTTATAATTAAGTTCAAATATAAATAATGATATAACGTTATTGCAGTTTTTGAAAACACGGGTAAATAAGGCTTCTACTTTTACAATAATTATGTACAACAAATACGTACGCACGCTCCTCTGTGTGCGTTTCAATTCACAAAGTTTTTGCCAATCGAACGACCCTTACGAATGTATGTGTGCGTAGTAAATTAGTAGGCCTTGGATATTTATGAATTACAATCAGTTAAAATAATGCATTATCACGCATTCTAAATTTAATAGATAAAAAGATAGAATATTTGAGATATTTTAAAATTAATTTTTCTTCACCATTCGCCTATATTACTTATTCTGGAGGTTTTCTGCATGTCTGGACGTACATTGCAAATGAACACCGTATCCTAGTTGTTATTTCTAAGTGTCAAATGTACTTGATGAGTTGTAGTATAAATTCATAGTTTTTTGAAGCACCTTTCTAAAAACCTGAAGCGAAAAGTGAACGGACTGACAAAGATTTTCTTTTCTAGGAAATGCGGCTAGAGAGGCCGCACGGAATTTCACGCTAACTGAAGACGAAGAAGGCACAATATGTTACAGCTGCAATACTTGCATGAAGAGCTTCAAGAGACGAGACCTTTTCATGCAGCACTATTTACACGTACATCTAAAACTGAGACCAAAGTTGAGAAGTTGCCACGTTTGCCATATGAAGATTCCGCCATACTTACGCGCGAAACACATGGAGAAAATGCATGGCGTTCCGGCGCCGACTTGCGGCGTTTGCGGGCGGAAATTTGCCTATCCCAACTTGGTTCTTTGTCATCAAAGAACTGATCATATGGGCGAGAAAAAATTCTCCTGCGATCGTTGTGGGATGAAATTCAGAAGAAGCCATGATTTAAATAGACACGCAATAAAGCATCTTGACGTGAGAGATTTTGTATGCGTGTTTTGTAATAAAGCATTTAAGTGGAAGAAGAATTTAAACACGCATTTGATGATCCATTTGGATAAAAGGCCTCATAAGTGCTCAGTGTGTGGACAAGCGTTTGTTCAAAGTACAAGTTTGAAATATCACATGATGAAAAGGCACGCTAATGTAGAGAATTAAACGTTTAAAATATTACAGATTTTTAGTTACAATTTCCGGTTCGTATCACATCACTATTATCATTGTAGTCAGTCAGTACGGACTAAAAAGTTTCACCGATCACTAAAATTTTGTATTTAAAACTTGAGAATCGAAGATTTCTAGTTTAAAATAATAATGAAATAGAGCCATGAATTTATTCTTTCGTATTAATTTAAGATTCAATATCTCATCATCTTCAATAAAACTAGGATATTGAGAATGCGTTATGGAGACGTTTACATAAGTACATACATTAATTGCACGGATACTAACATCTAGACCAGAAATTATGATTTGTAGCTTATACAAAATCTTTATCTGTGCGGGAGTCAACCAACGGCTCCATAGTCCCACGGGTCTTTAACCATTTTGTCCCATGAGATCAATCAAAGAATTGAAAATAAATTTTGGAAACATATTGGAAAAATATTGGAAACAGATCTGAAAGATGGTTGTGAAAATATTCCTAAAATAATGTCCTGATGTTTATGATACTCCTGGAAACTCCGGGAGTATCATCTTCGGGAATTTTGTTGATTTTTCGAAATAAAATTCGTGAGTAATCTGTTCCGTTCAAGTTAGGAATGCGGACACATATCTTTTCATTTCTGAGAGGGTTAGGAACGATAAGACGTAGTACAGATGTGAACATGTTTTAAGTTATCATAGCGACAATATCATTTTTACTAAAATAATTAAATTAATTTATCGTAACATAATTGTTTTTTGTTTTTTTTTTCTTTAACTAAAGACTGAAATGTAAGAATTAGACTTTTGAGTT